TGTTTACCGGTTGCCAAGAGACCCCCTCAACGCGACGGCACCAAACGCAATGCTTCCCGTCGCCTGCATCTCGTAAATCTGAACGAAAACTTCCGTGGCGCCGGATATGATCGTTCGGTCATTTAATGGAAACGCATATATTCCTATTATTTTTTCATCTATGTTACGTACTTTTTTTTTTTTTTTTTTTAGCTCTCGCGAATGAAACATATTTTCCTATTTTTTTCATCTACGTTATGTACTTTTTTTGCTCGCGAATGAAATATATTTTTCCTATTATTTTTTCATCTACGTTACGTCCTTTTTTTTTTTTTTAGCTCTCGCGAATGAAACATATTTTCCTATTATTTTTTTCATCTACGTTACGTACTTTTTTTCACGCGAATGACAAGTATTTCGAGCTTAAAACAGTATGATTTCGTTGGATTTCGTTGTATGTTTTCAGCACGAATCGTCATTTTCCAAGATATGTTATATTTGTACGTTATATCGTCCTGCTACTCTAATGTTTTTTTTCTCACTGATGTTTGTAAATAGAGAAATAAATAAAAGAAACTAGGTTTGCTGGAATGGTCGTATTTCTTCTTTATGACGTGAAAGTAGAATATCTGTCTCTCTCTTTATATTTTCTACTTCTACTCTTTCTGTCTCAATTTCTATCTCAATTTTCATTTCTATCTTTATTTCTAACTCTTACCATCTCCATTTCTATTCATATTTCTACCTCTCTTTAAATTTCTACCACTATTTCTATCCCTATTTCTAACTCTTACTATCTCCATTTCTATTCATTTTCTAGCTCTACTTCTTTTTCTATCTCCATTTCTAACTCTTGCTTTCTCTATTTCTGCTTCTATCTCAATTTTATTTCTATCTCCATTTCTAACTCTTGCTTTCTCTATTTCTATTCATACTTCTACCTTCTTAAATTTCTACATCTATTTCTATTTCCATCTCGATTTCTATTAGTACATTTATTTCTATCTCTATCTCTATCTATTACTATCCCGATTTCTATTTCTCTCTCTCCACAATTTGTACCATTATTCCTATTCTATTTCTATTTTAATCACGATTTCTATTTCTCTCTCTCCACAATTTATTTTTATATTCTATCGCCATTTCAATCACAATTTCTATTTCTATAATTTATTTCTATTTATCTCTATCTAATCACGATTTCTATTACTCTCTCCACACTTTGTACCATTATTTCTATTTCTATCTATCTATTGTAATCTCGATTTCTATTTCTCTCTCTCCACAGTTCATTTCTATTTCTATTTCTGTCGCCATTTCAATCACGATTTTCTATTTCTCTCTCTCCACAATTACCATTTCCCTATTTCTGTTTATTTAATACGATTTCATTTCTATTCTATTTCTGTCGCCATTTCAATTCTATTTCTCTCTCTCCACAATTTATTTCTATTTCTATCTCTATTCTAATCTCGATTTCTATTTCTCTCTCTCCACAATTTATTTCTATTTCTATCTCATTTCAATCACAAATTCTATTTCTCTCTCTCCACAATACAAATGCTTTTTCAACAGACCATTTATCCGGCGTCGCGTTCATTAAGACCAATAATAATACGACAAAAATCAATATAATGATATATTTCCCGCCCATGTTCTAGTCTGTTCATTAGGGTGAAAATGCCTAGCTATTGACTGCCGGTTTGAACTCTGCGGACACCCATCCCTGTAATGAATCGCTGTTTCCTAAATCATCTGAATGGTTTATTGATCTCTGGCACTGATTCCTGGCACTGATTCCTGGCACTGATTCCTGGCACTGATTCCTAAGTGCACTGTGCTGGAGTTAATTGATGAATTCCTGGAACGAGATATTCCCGTTTAAATCATTGGGAAAAGTTGCGACGAAGTGATGCACTGAGGAGTAAGCTGACGTCTTGGGAGAGAACTGTTTGGAATTTCAGCACGCACCCATGCACACACACGCGTGCACGCACACATGCACACACATGCACACACATGCACGCACATACACGCATGCACGCACACATGCGCGCACACATGCACGCACACATGCACACATGCACACACGCTTACACACACGCTTACACACACACACACGCGCTTACACACACACACACACACGCTTACACACACGCTTACACACCCACACACGCGCGCTTACACACACACACACACGCGCGCTTACACACACACACACACACACACACACACATACACACACACACACACGCACACACACACAACGTTACTCATTCAAACTCAATTAAACCCATTTCCTATTCCTCCACTGACGTGCAAATATACCCCAACGTTAGCAGAGTCCGAAACCCTTCAGAAGAATTTATTTTAAAAAACGTAAATAAATAAACAACATAAAATAAGAGAAAAAAATGAAAATAAATAAACAACAAAAAATAAGAGAGAGAAAAAAAATGAAAATAAATAAACAACATAAAATAAGAGAGAAAAAAAAATGAAAATAAATAAACAACATAAAATAAGAGAAAAAAATGAAAATAAATAAACAACATAAAATAAGAGAGAAAAAAAAATGAAAATAAATAAACAACATAAAATAAGAGAGAAAAAATAAGAAAAAAAGCAAAATAATAATAATTAATTCACGTTCCATTAGCAATGAGGTTTGAACGAACATGAACACCTCTGAACATTGTTTTGCGTTCGTCTCCCTCCATCACAACGATTTAGTAGAAGGAAAATACACATTTGTTTTAGTGGTGCGATGTGTATTTTCGGTTTATGGATATGTGTAATTTTTTTTACAATAAAGAAGGTTGGTAGAAGAAGTGGAGGAAGGAGGAGGAAAAATTAAATAAGGAAAATGGTATTAATGATGAAAACTAAGTAAGGAAAATGGTATTCATGATGGAAATGAAGGAAAATAGTATTCATGATGAAAATGAAGTAAGGAAAATAGTATTAATGATGAAAATGAAAAGAGGAAAATGGTATTAATGATGGAAATGAAATACGGAAAATAGTATTAATGAAAATGAAATAAGAAAAATTGTATTAATAATGAAAATGAGAATGGTATAGAAAAATAAATACAATGGTATAAAACAATACGAAAATGCTAATAATGGTAATACTGAGTATAATGATAAAAAAAAGAAAATAATATTGTAATATTGCCTATAACGTAAAGAAATAATAAAAAATATAAAAATCACTTTCACATCAATAGTAATAAAACAAGGATATTAAGATTTTTCCATCTTAATATCCTTGTTTTATGAGAGACGAGTAAAAGGAAATTTTCAATCTTAAAAAAAAAAAAAAAAAAAAAAAACATATTAAACCTATTTATGAAAAAGACATGATCTCACATAATGAAAATCCTTCGACGGAAATATTAAAAGAAGCAAAAAGAAAATAAAAAAGGCAACAACAATAAATATAAATAAGAAATGAGGAGGATATAGCTTCCAGTAACAATAAAATAAAAAAACAGGATCTTAATATCTCGCTTTTTTCCCGCGTCAAATTCAGGCGGGATCCCGAGGCAACTGAAAATATGGAAGGTAATTAATATTTTCACAGGGATGCTGTTCGCGTGTTCTGGATAAAGTTGGCAAAAACAGAAATCAAAAAGAAAATTAAAAAATGCAACAACAATAAATATAAATAAGAAACAAGGAAGATAAAGCCTTCAGTAAAATCTTCATATCTCGTTTTTTTCCCGCGTTAATTCAGGCGGGATCCCGAGGCAACTGAAAATATGGAAGGTAATTAATATTTCACGGGGATGCTGTTCGCGTCTTCTGGATAAAGTTCGCAAAAACAGAGACTTTATTAATATTAGTTTTGTGTTGGAGTTTCGGGGTTGAAGAATTGCTTTTTTTGTTTGAATACTTTGCTTAAAGGTTAAATACACGCTTAAAACACGTACGCACGGACACCCCATACAAACACGCGCGCACACACCCACACACACACACGTACGAACACATACACATAAACAAAAACGCACACACACAATGAAACAATAAAAATAACCCGAAGAAAAAATCGATAAGAAAAATTACAGTTAAATAATCTACAATTTGGGTCTTAAATTCTGAAAAAAATAAAAAAAGCCTATGATACGATTCCAAATTCATTAAAAATATATATTAATAAAAAACAAACATTGATATGAAAAAATACATATATGACACTAATTCTAAATACATAGTTAAAATAGTAATAAATAAATAAATGAGAAGCGCAATGATAAATACTTGAACCAAACATAAAAAACAACCGAAATGCAGATAAAAGAAAAAGAAAAATCATTAAATAAAATACAATAGATAAATAATTAGAATAAAACAAACATACAAATAAACAAAATGAAATCATATGAAATAAAATAAGTAAATACATAAATGAATGAATAAATAAATAAATAGGTAAATTAATAGACAAATAAATAAAATAAGTAAATTGATAAATGAAATGAAATATAACTAAAATAAAATGAATGAAGAATAAAATCAAACAAATAAGTAAACAAAATAATATGAATATATAAATGAAAAAACTGAGAAACAGATAAATGACAAAATAGAGCAACAGATAAATTAATACATAAATCAAACAAAAAACACATAAAAAATAAATGAAGTAAACAAAATAGATCCACAAACAACAACAAATAAACGTATAAAAAACAAATAAAACAAACAAAACAAACAAACAGACAAAACTAACAAAACAGATAAGCAAACAAAAACACAAAACATACAAATACACACACACAATAAAACAAAATACAAACAAAAACAAACAAAACACAAAAAACAAACAAAAATACACAAAACAAACAAACAAAAACACAGATAAACAAACAAACAAAACAAAATACACAAAACAAACAAACAAAAACACACACAAACAACCAGACGAACAGCTGAGTAAACAAAAGAGCAGCGACTCACGTGGCGCCCCACAAAGGCCCCGTTATCATGAACCGACGAGTCGTTGAGTTGCTC